GAGAGAGAGAGAGAGAGAGATGCAGAGCGTGCGTAGAGCAGGGGGACGCGAGGAACAGTATTGAGAACCGCTGCTTTAGAACATTGATTTTAAAACTTGTGAAAACATTAGAATCGTTAGAAGACAGAATTGCAATTCATATATGAATAGATTTTTACGTGCACCTCTAGTTTTCTCTTTCTCTTCTCTAAAGCAGCGCAGCATGGCCTCGCCCCCTTTGCTGCCTTTTCCCGAGGGAGGGTTTATCTGGGTTTGTGATGTCACGAACCCCGGAAGTAACTTGTTGTAGTCCCTACCAGCCATTTTTGTAGGCATTAAACTGCCAGAAATTTAAAAGACAAAAGAAAAGAAAAGAAAAGATATCTCTGTTTGCATTGATCTTTCAGCTTCGTAACTTTGCAGATATTGTTTATGCTCAAACAGCAACATTACACACTAACTAACGTTAAAAAAGTGAAATCGCAATAAACCACCCCTTTAAATGTATTTAACAAATCATCAAATACCATTAAATATGAAGTGTCTGTATAATAGCATAGCAACATGCTCAAAAGCACTTAGAGCACCTTAACGATTTCATAGCAACACCCAAGCAATCACCAACAACAGCCTAACATTTTGATTGAACTGTCTTCCTGACAATTTTCTGATTTAAATTCTTATATAATGCATTTAAGCTTTTCGGATTTTTTCTTTTGTTTTTCTTTCCCCGGTTGCAGTGGATGATCTTTGGAAGACTCCACTCACAATAGAGGATCTGATATGCTACAGCTTTCAGGTTGCTCGAGGGATGGAGTTTCTGGGATCTCGTAAGGTACATTTCAAACATGTATTCAAGCTCATCTGCTCTGATGGATCACTAGTCACATTTAGCGGGTTGTAGCTTATTAATAGTTGAACTCTTCAATAGCAGTCCATGCTCATCAAATGGGGGAATGTTTTGCTGGATACAGATTTTTTCAAATTGGAACAAATGCCTAGAACATATGAAAAAAATAAAATCTTATAATAAATCAAAAAACGTATTTGATGATGAGAAAGTAGCAAATATTTTAGATCTGCTGATCTATTGTGAAATAAGGTATAGATATAGATATAGTAATCTTGATTTTGGTCTGACAGTGCATTCATCGCGACCTGGCGGCCCGCAACATCCTCCTGTCCGAGAACAATGTAGTGAAGATCTGTGACTTTGGTTTAGCACGGGACATCTACAAAGACCCTGACTACGTGCGCAAAGGCAATGTAAGAGAAACCCTTCAAATAAAAGCATGATCCAGACAGATCTCTAGTGTAGTATAGCAGTATGAATCTCCTGGAAACTGTGAAGACAAAGTCCAGGTCAGGATCATGAGTGTTGGATTTTTCACTGAAAAATCAAAAAGGAAATTTCATTCAGTGCTAAATTGTCTTGATGCTTGAAAAATGCTTGAAAAAGGCTAAAAAAAATAATGATGTATTTGAATTGTAAAGCATTTATATGTAATGGTAGTGTTTGTAGTACAGCATTTAATGTAAAAAAAAACATATATCTGTAATAATCATTTGGGGGGGGAAAGTGGCTTAATTGACATTAAAATAACTTTTTTTTTTATATTACCTGGACATGCAAAATGTGACCCCACATGAGATTCAATATGAATGCATTTCAGTAAAGGCCAGTGGTCAAAAATGACTTGTCTGGCCTTTGCGTCATGATATAAAAATATCAGCAATCCAATGAAAATTGACAGAAATGGTGAGGCAACTTTGATTACATACTAAATATAATTTGAAAAAATACAAAGCAAAAGATGAACATGTAACAATACTAGTAGTGTTACTGCATGACATATAAATGTACCCTTTCTGCTTCATTATGTTTGAGATTACTCTTGAGAGGCATTGATGAATGTTTGACCTACTGCAAATCATATCTGATCTCCAGGATCATGATGAGAGTGTATTCTCTCACAGGCACTATTATAGGTGAAATGTTATCTGTCTTTGCAGGCTAGACTGCCGCTGAAGTGGATGGCTCCAGAGAGCATCTTTGATAAGGTTTACACCAGTCAGAGTGATGTATGGTCATTTGGAGTACTGCTCTGGGAGATTTTCTCACTAGGTAAGAGTCTGTAACCTGATACCTGAGCACTGGCAATTCCTCAAACCCAACCTTTTCTCTTCTTTTCCGCTCATA